TGGTTTAGCATTCTGGTTCAAATGGTACATTACACTTTCAAAAAGACATACGTTGCCCGATAAATCGTGATTTATATGCATATTTTCGTAAATTGGATAAATATTATCATTCTAAAATGACTAAATTAAACCAAATGACGGTCATTTTGTTTCATTCCTTAGAAAAACATACAATGAGGACAAAATAAAAAGGAAACAGACAAATAGACAGTAAAAATAGCAATTGTTAAAAACCCGACAGGATAACAAAAAGCGAAATAAATACATGAAAGCACTTAAAGTATACGTAAATATAGTAAATATGATTAAAACTAGGCCTATATATCCTAACACTCAGGTCAAGTGTGCTCTCTAAGTAATGCGTCAAATTACAGTTACAAATTATTCCCAATTGGGGATTGGATTATAATTTGGTCGTATGATCTGTATTTGCTATAATATCACAGCAGGTTAAAACTCATCAACCAAGATTAATAATTGTCATTGCAAATCTAGATTTTATACCTATTCACGTAAAAAAAATATAGCCTTACATTTTTTAATTTATGTGCATTGTGCAATCACTGTCATTTTCACCATTGGAATAATTTTAGTCGGTTCTCTTTGATAATAATTAAACATATCGCAGTGGCGTGCAGGATTTAACCTGTCGGAAATCTAACAGAAAATTGCTCGTGCACTAGAACTAATTATGTAACCTTTGTTTCAAGATTATCTTCAGCCTGGTGTACTGTGAACAATACTTGTTTACCTGCTATTAGGTTCAATGGTTCAAACAACTACTATTAAAGCGCCGTGCAAGGTGACGTCATCCTTATTTCGAACCAGCATCATCATGCTTGTTAAAATGTATACATCCTGAGCACAACGTATGTGATAGGCTATAGCACTTACCAGCATAAACATTTTAAACGAACTACAGCTTCCATAGAATGGCTGTCTCTTTTTCATAGGTTTCCCCTTAATACCGTAGGTGTTGGCTGTAGTGTTAAGAAATATATTTTCCCTCGTCTTACAGAAAAGTGTCTTATTCCTAATATTAAATAAGTGTTTAATTCCATTGTTGAATTTTATAGCAATATAATTATATTTACTATTTTCTGATTCTTCTTTTAAACAAATTATTACTGTTATAGAAGGCCAAACTCATCAACCACTTCTTTGGACGAATCAGCGAGTTCCTTTTCAGCATCTATTATGTGTGGTAACATAAGTAATAGGTCAATAGATGAACCGAGTACGAAGCCAATGGGAAGCATAGGGAGTCACCCAGCAACCGATTTCTTGGGATTTACGGAACGGAATAGTGCGGTATTCGAACTGATATTTTTTGTGTAACAAAATTATGTCATACTTTTTCACATTCAAACACAATTGCTTACCATAATCGTCACGATCATTATGATGATAAATATCAGCAGATGCATTATGTTAAATTGTCATTATTTGTCATTTTGTCATTTGTGGCTGGATCTCGGTAGAGATACAAAAATGATAAGCAACAGCTAAAAAGTAAACGTAAGTAAACAGCTAGAAATAGAACCAGAGATTTCGGACAACACTAGTCCTTCCTCAGTGGCGAGCGAGTGAGGGTTGAAAAAGCCAGATAGTATAAAGTGAGAATTTCATGCAAGCATGATTAGAAACAATAGGCTAGGTGGGATTTAGAATAAACAGCCTAAACAAGTAAACAGAAGGCCAAAACTAAACTTTGGATGCTGTGAAATAAACTGAATTTTCCATTTGTCATTCGTCATTTCTCACCAATTTTTCATGTGTCATCTCCCTTTATCCCAATCATCCACATGTCGTGGGCGTCATCATCATAATCATCCTCCTCAGTAGGCTTCTTCACATCATCATCACAATCATTTTCATGATTCGTTAGTTATCATCATGAACATTATCAGTAGTACTAAAATCAATCTCACAACCATCATCTTTATCGTCGTCACCAGCACCACCATTGTCATTAACATCCTCATCATCATCATCATCATCATCATCATCATCATCATCATCATCATCATCATCATCATCATCCTCATCATCATCATCATCATCATCATCATCATCATCATCATCAAGCAACACCATTATCGTGGTTGCCATCGTTATCATTATCATCATCATGATTTATCATTGTTCGTGAATTATCGCCGAGTCAGTAACCACGGCGCACGGCATCACTATTGTATGATCGTTTCCAACGAATTAAGCGAATTAGGCTATTGCATGGAGGTATATAAACATATTTTTATACCGTATAAAAATATTTTTATACCTTCATGGCTATTGGTTGATTCGTACCTCCATGGTTAAACAAAAATGTAAAAGAATTGTTTTTTTAGGCCCTACTTACTTTATTGGTTATCTGGGATTAGCATAATTGTACCGAAATAGCGATGAGATCTAGATTGGAGAACTCCCCGGAAATAAGTTTAACCAAACTGAACAATAAGCTATTGTGTATAGTTGACCTCATCATCCTGGTTCTCAATTAGGCTATGTTTTTGCAGTGTTGTAATTTTCTATACTTTACTGTATTAATATGACTAATATTCTATTTCTTTACACAGGTCCGGTACAATCGTCATCATTATCATCAACACGCAGTAACAGAGTACAAAATATTGAAGGAGACACTTCGAAGAAAGCAGAAGCGTCATTCAAGCTATTTAGAATCGGTGTGGTCACCATGACAGCATCGTGATGGGATAAGAAAAGAGCCTAAACTCCCACCTACCCACCACGTGAACTCATGTCCATCATGCACGCGTACTGAGATACACTATGAATGTCAGACCCGTCAGAGGAAAACAATCGTGCTTATGTTCTTCTGAGCATGCTCATTTGAATACATTCCTTGAAATTTGAAACATGATGTGTTTTGAAGTCATGACGTTATGTTGCTTGATTTCTATGTATATACCTCCATGATCTGATAAACATTCCCTAATTTTACCATACGTACGTTTCCCTCAGGCTTGGTTTATATCCCCGTATAAATCTCTACGTCATTACTTCGCATCATATCACATCAATTGCACAACGATGGCTTCACTCTGAATGGGGGGGGGGTGAGGACCCCGCATGACTGACAGCAAATTAGTTCCACTACATGGGTAAAATATTAAAAATGACCATTACGTTTTCATTGGAATAGGGATTTAGTTCTGGGTTTTTGTACCGCATTCTCAATTTCCCACTCCCCAAGGCTGAAGCCAGCCTCTGCCCCTGACCTAAATTATGATTTTGCAATACAA